CCTGAGATGAAGAGTGGAAAGCTCCCGCAGCGGGTGGCTTTCTTCTCCTCCTGAGGGGAACTGAGAAAGCAGGCGAGGGCCTCTGTGATGTCAGTTTCCCTTCAGGGTGGGGAGGAGACGTCTTGTAGCGCAGCTAAAGATGATCGCTTGAGATCCCGAGAAACAAGGCTCCCCTTTCCCCTGGAAGCTGCAGGAGCATAGTGGGAGTCGGGGTGAGCTGACACTCCTCCATGATGCAAATTACAACAACGACAGTGGTAAATGTGGCAATCGGTTCCTCCTGAACAAACTTTTAGTGTTTTTTTTTTTTTTTTTCCCCCTCTCTCTGTGAAAATGTTAAAGGTCAGGAGAGGTCAGCTTTAAGAGGAACTGAAAGTAGCAGAGCTCAGGGTTGGGCCTGAATTTGATTTAGGTAACATCATCCACCAGCCACCACAAACTTCATTTTGACTTATTTTTAAAAGCAGAAGGTGGGTCAACCAAAAATTCCCTGAATTAACTGTTTAACAGTCACATCAGTCATTCTCGAATGTTCGTTTAAAAAACTTTGCAGGGGAAAGTCAATGGTAAGCTTTAAGGTATTCAGAGAAAACCATTAGTGGGATAAGAAATAAAGAAAAAGTTCAGTTAATTTGAAAGAATACATTAGAATAACCCAGCATTTTCTGTTACAAATAAAGCTTATTTAAGTTTTTTGTTGTGAGGAGAAACTAATATTGTCTCATCACTTTGCAGACTGTTTTAACTCAAGGTTTTTCTGTCTATCGTCTGAATGCCCTCGGCCTTAAATTCAATAACAGCGGAAATGAGAAGATTTAAGTAATTTTTCCAGTCCCCTTTTTCTTTTTTATTATTTAAGCTCCTATTCATGATGTAGTACAGCGCCAGTCTCTCAGCGTCATCCTTGGATTCATGAATGCTAGACTCTCCTGCTTCTGGAAACTTCACTCGCTCAGCGGTAACACTCATTAGACGGCGTTGTGACCACCGACAGTAAAAAAAAAAAAAAAAAGGGGGGATTTAGTTCATTTTTTTGCCCAGACTAGAGTTTCTGTATCCCCTCAAATTTGGGGATAGAGAACCAACCAGTTATTTATGGATTTTGCCAATGGAACTCCATAACAGAATAAACTCCTACCACTGTCCTCACCATCATATCTATAATGCAGTTTGGGAAGCTGAAATACCCAGGCACAATGTCTTTGGCTGGTATTTGCAATGCAGCCAATCCTAGAGCGGGATTCCCATTGTTAAGCGCTGATTGGCTGAACCTCAAAAGCAGCGGTAAAGACGACTGTGGACGTTAGTTTCTGCTGTTGTGTCAAGACAGTTTACTCTAGTTATGTATAGTAAGGTATGTTTAGTGTTTTAGCTATTAAAGTATGTATTTCTATGGAGTTTTAGGGCTCTTTGGAGCCCCCTGCTGGCCTGGATGCCCTAAGTAGCGGACTATCTCCCTCATCCATCAGACTGACTGTCAGAGCATCGAACAAGCTCAACTTTTTTGTAATACTGTTTCCCTCTTGTGAGTTGTATTTCACATTTGATAAAAACGATGAAGAAAATCCTTAATTTATGAACACATGAAAAATGTAAATATTTGCTCTTAATAGATTCTGATAGAACATTTCATTCCAAAGTAAACCTTTGCTCCAGAAACTCGCAAAACAAAACATCCCATTTGATCATCTACTACAATTACGTTGCACAGTGTGATGAAAGGATATCAATGAACTACTTATGTCACAAGAAAAGAGCAGCACTTCATACATGAAACCAGCTGAAGCCATATGGGAGTTTGGGGAGGATCAGTGATCAAAAGAGCATGAAGCTTATCAACACTGTTTCTCAACATTTAAGCAGTGTCATATGGCTTTGGAAACACAGCCAGGATAGCTGCGGTTTCACCCAGGAACATAATGGCTGTGTTTGTTTTTATGTGCTGTGAAAAGCCAGTAAAGTGTAGATGGGGCCGGTGGGGGTGCGCGGGGTCTTTATCACGATGAAAGGCTAAAAGATGGGACTGACCTTTCTGGCACCAGCTGGGCTTTGGGAGCACAATGCACGGCGGCAACTCTTTCTGGCATTTTCCCCCTTCAGCTCTGGGCTACACTTACAAGCCAAATACTCAAGTCCAAACATCTATCATTTTGCACAAAGACTCAAACACACTGATGCCCCGAACCCCCTCCTTTTTTTATATCACAGAGGCGCTCACACACCACAAAGTTCTGTATATCTGCAAACAGACCAGTCCCGTCTGGCATCACAGTGCAACTGCAGGCTATGGAAGCAGAAAAGCGGGAGTGGATCACTGCAGATTACATCAACGCAGAACTTCACTCGGCCCAAAGTATCATCACCACTTTCCTTCAACAGAAGCTAAGCAATACTTAGGCTTTCATCCAGAACACTCCAGTAAACTGCCTCTTTGTAGTCATTGAAAGCTGGAAACGTTTACAGTTTCCCATCTAAGGAAAACTTAAAGCAAAAAATCAGACCTAGTTTGGTGAGTGGGCCTCAAAAAAATGACCTGTACACCTCAAATGCTTTGTTTCTGGGGGGCCACATAACCAAAAGAGCTTTGTGTGACATTTCAAAAGGAAGCATCACACGGTGGAACAAGGATCATGCAAACACAGAATAACACTTGTATGCTGTTCATTTTTTTGTTTTTCTTTTTGACGACGGGGTGGGGGGGTTGCCAATTCTATAGGTAAACTCTAGCAGAAAGGAGGTAAGTTAACCCTGGGCTCACACACAAAGGAAACAGTGGTCGACATCTGAAAAAGTAAAGAGTAGTAGTCCCTGACGGGTCAAAGGCCTCATGGTCAGCAGGAGAGTATAAAAGGACCTGTAGGTGAGCGCAGGGCTACGGTGCGAAAACATCCACAGCCCTTCAGCCATGGGAAAGGTATGAGCTCCTCATGCAGGAAGGAACCAGCCAGGGCAAAAAAGCAGAAAAGGAAAAATGTATTCTGTGTTGGAGCAACAGAAACAAAAAAAGGGAGAAAAGTTACAAACTACGGGGTTCCAATCATTTTTCTCCTTTGCCATTTTGTACTTTTGCAATTTTTCAGTCTTATCTAACTTCTTCAGCTGTAAAAAGATGTAGTCTGGCAACAATGGAAACTATTTCAGAATTGGAAAAAAAATGCAATTAAGTTTAATTATGAGTGAAGTTTGACAATTTTTTTATTCCTTTCATGGAAATTGTTAAAAAAAAAACACTTAACAACTTAAAAATGTACTGGTATGCAGTGGTTAGGAACAGCAATATGAAATGGTTTGTTTTTTGTGTATAAAATGGAGGAAGGTTAGGTATAAAGTAGGAGCTTAAATCAGTTTTTTCCAGGTAGTAAAAGACTGACCTGAAATGAATACAAAAATATACACAGAATAAACAACTTTTCACCCATCAAGCAATAAAATTTCAGTTCAAATGTATAAATTTGAGTTAACATCCTTGCCTTCCTTTCCTTAGATTGTGTTTTACGAGGGCCGAAACTACATGGGCCGCCACTGGGAGTGCAGCAGTGACTGCATGGACACCTTCCGGCACTTCAACTGCTGCAACTCCATGCGCGTCAGCGGCGGCCACTGGGTGGCCTACGAGAAGCCTCACTACATGGGCTACCAGTACATCCTCGGCCCTGGCGACTACCCGGACTACCACTCCTGGATGGGCTTCAACAGCTGCATCCGCTCCTGCCAGATGTTCCCCCCCGTAAGTTTATCAGATCAGTGACATCCCACACCCCTAAATCAGGGGTGTCAAACTCATTTTCGTTTTGGGCCAAATCAAGATCTTAAAGGGCCGGTTGTGCCAGAAAACATCGTTAAAATATCAACAAATTCTTAAAATTAAATAATATTATTTAGCATCTTTTCAGTCCCTCCAGGATGTCATGATTCTTTTTGTAAATTTTTGCAATAAAAATCAAAGAATTTGTGGTACTAATTTGGAAGTATTTGCGCCTATTTATGACGGTAAACGCAACCTTTTATTACTCGCTGTATAGATTGTGGACTATAATCTGACATCAATTAAGGCTGAGGCAGCTGTTTAGTACAATTAAGAACATTTTTGATCATTTTTGAGAAAAATGTGTAATAAACTCCCAATTGTTAGCGCAATATGTTGATTTTGCGTGAATTTCCATAATAATTCTCAGGGAATTGGAGGAACTGATTGATAAAGATCAAGAGCAGGAGCAAGCAGATAAGAACTGCATTGATTTGATTGATAACATAATATTTAAGCACACGTAATGTTTAGTCTAGAATCTAGAGGGCTACATAAAAAGCTATGGCAGACCGGATTTGAGTTTGACACACTAAAGGTATATTTGTAAAAGTCCTTTCACGGATATTAAAACGGCATAATAATTAAACTCTGATGTCTTTCACTTGCAGTATAGAGGATCCTACAGGATGAGGCTCTACAACAGGCCCGAGATGATGGGGCACATGATGGAGTTCATGGACGACTGCCCCAACGTGTACGAGCGCTTCCACCACCGAGACGTCTACTCCTGCAACGTCATGGAGGGCTACTGGATCTTCTACGAGCATCCCAACTATAGAGGACGGCAGTACTTCATGCGCCCAGGAATGTACAGGTCCTGCGGGGACTGGGGCGGCTTCAACCCCATGATCGGCTCTTTCAGGAGGATGAGGACTAACATGTAACACTCCACCCATGCAAGCATCAAATGAACAATAAACATGCAACTCTAAAACACAAATGTCTTTTGTTTTGGTATTGTTATTTGAAGAAGTCTATGCAATTACAAAATCGTGCATTTCTGGCATTCATGCAGATACTGCAATTCTTACTGAGGGCCTCAGGGGAAAAAATGCAGTTGTACAGTATTTTTCTACAGACAGGCAGAGCTTTGAGAGACAAAGCAGCTGCTGCAGCTTCCCATTCCTATTGTGTCCTACCTTGTATAGAGCGCACTGTGCTGACATGACAAAGCTTTGTGTCAGGCTCACAAAGGCCTGATCCCAGCAGGATCTATAAAGAGGACCGGTCAGAAGCTTTGCACCCGATCTGGTCTGAACTTAACTGAACAAAGTCACAATGGGCAAGGTAAGCTTGAGTTTTTAAGTTCGGTAGAGTTACTGAAATGCAAATACTTGATTTGTAGTTTGTGGTTTAGAGTAATCACAAATTAAACTGCGGCTATGTACCGATCAATAATTTGGAATAAAAAAAGCTGCAATGTAAACTATCAATACATAAAGTAAAAGAATGTAAATTAAAATGCAAAAACAAGTAGCAGTTTCTACTTATTTTCCGTTCAGAATCAGACTTTTATTCTCCATTTAATTGGCTCTTTGATTTTCTGTTCAACTTTCCTTCAGGCACTAGATGTACTACTGCCAGTCTTTTCAAAACTTAACAGTCATAAAAAGATATTCAATAATTAACCTGATTTTTCAAACCTGGCTCAGAATAGTACAGATTTAAGAACCATTCAGTGTAGAGAACTTATCCACCTTTTGTTAAAGGACATGACTTAAATCATTCTCTCTTTTTCACAAAGTACTGCAGAAGTTAACTTAGATTTTTGTTAAAAAGATTAAATCAATTCAGTGGCGTCTCATGGCGTCACGCGGCATTACGGTGCATTGCGTGACGTAGTGTGACGTGTTGCATGGCGGTGATCAGTCTGTGGCTCTGCTTAAGTATTCAAGAACCCCAGATTGCTTTCATTGCAGCCTTAATTACAGGTTTTGTGGTCTGATGACTCTCGTCTTTCTCTTGAAAATACCGTATTGCCTACCAAATACCTACCAAGTCTTGGAAACTTGATTTTATCTTAAATTTGGGCTTCGAACCATAAAGTCAGACTTACTCCAACCCTGCAGTTATCCCTGTTGCATTGCACATGCCACACTTTTTCCTTACACTCAACTTTCCATTAATGCACTTAGCACACTCTGTGAACAGTCTGTTTTTTTTTTTTTGCATTGATTGTTTGTGGATGGTGTCATGACTCATGTATAACTTCTAGTTCAGCAGTTTTTCCCATGAGTGTATAGGAAATATAACATTTCTGTATTTTCTGTATTTAGATTTACGGAGGAAACTGAACTTTCAGTTTTCATTATAAATAAGGGAAAATAATTGCATACTTGAGATATATCACTATTTGTGTGTTGAGTCTGTATGAGCTTTAAATTCCTTCAAACTGCTGAAATACATTAGGTCATAGGGGATACTTTAATGTACTGAGATGCTCCTAACACTCATTGGGTAGGACAGAACAGATCACTGCGTTTCAGCCAGGGGGGCAGATCCTTCATTATTAGTGATCCTAAAAATAGAAAACAAAAACCATGTCAGTGATAGGCACTGATGTGTTTAACCCTCTAGAATTTGCAGTTTTCAACATATATTTCATATGAAATGTTTCATTGACTTTTTACTGGTCTTGGAGTTCCAATCCAAGCCTCCTTCGGTTCTGCAATGCCAAATTTATTGGTATTTTATGAACAACCAGAGAGAGCTCAGAGAACGGTGGTGATACTTTTCTTTCGAATGCAGATTATCTTCTATGAAGACAGGAACTTCCAGGGCCGTAACTATGAGTGCAGCAGCGACTGCCCCGAGATGCAAAGCTTCTTCAGCCGCTGCAACTCCATAAAGGTCGACAGCGGCTGTTGGGTGGCCTACGAGAAGCCCAACTACTCCGGCTACCAGTACATGCTGCACAAGGGAGAGTATCCCGACTACCAGCGTTGGGCCGGGTTCAACGACTGCATCCGCTCATGCCGCATGGTGCCTCCTGTGAGTTATTAATAGCTACTCTATCCTGTTTGCAGTCAGGTTTTCTCTAATCGTGCAGCACTGAAACTGTCACACTTTCCTCTGCAGTACAAGGGCAACTACAGGATGAAGATCTTTGAGCGTTCTGACTTTGCCGGACAAAATCTAGAGCTGGTGGAAGACTGCCCAGATCTCCACGAGCGCTTCCACACCCGTGACATCTCCTCCGCCAACGTCATGGAGGGCTACTGGATGCTGCACGAACACACCAACTACAGGGGGCGCCAGTACTTCTTGCGTCCGGGAGAGTACAGAAGGCACAGCGAGTGGGGAAGCACCAGTGCTACCTTTGGCTCTCTGAGACGTGTCACAGAGATCAACTGATTTATAGTTCATTTTTCTTTTTTTATCCCCTCTGAGCCCCACTCTTTAACCCTTCCCCCTTTTGTTTCTCAGGTGCCAGCTCTGTTGGAGCGTGGTCTCAGCTATGTGGTCTCCAAACCTGCAATCAAACACTTTAATGATGGTTTATCTGAGGTGGCCTTGTGGCTTTGCTTGGTTGCTTTGCATTGAAGTTGTTCTCCAGCTCAGTGCTCAAACAAAGCTCACACACAATATTAATCATTTTCACTTTGGTTGTCCCATCGTGAAAAAGATTTTTCCCGCAGGTCCTGAAACTTCTGTCCTACTGAAATCACAATAAATGAAAACTTGATGAAAATCAACAAGAGGGACTTTTCTATTTTTCGTTCACCATCACAGCTGTCATTGTCAGATGATCTTCTCTTAAACTTTAAAAGCAAATATGAATGCAAACATAAAGAGTAACCATTGAGGTCCTTGGAAGACCAAGAGTTTGCAATTGTCTATAGTGTCATTACACACAAACAGAGAGAAATTATCAAGGAAACAGAAGCTTATTCTTTGAAGTTTGCTCTTAAAGACAAAGCGTATCTGAGGATGGGCATGTTGGAGTCTTTATGAGATCACATGGTACAGAGTGAGTGCTTCGGGTCCATGAAAGTTGCCCGTGTTAGATCAACATCACAAGACCAGTGCCAACTCAAAGAGCCAGAGTCAAAGTGGCCTGTTATTAGCCCCAAGCATGAAGCTCTCTCAGAACAAAAACAAAACCCCGTCCACATCCTCCGCTCATGCATTTTTCATCACACCCAGATACTGAGCCCTTTCAGAAATAAATATCAATTATTGAAATTGTTAATTAGACGCCGCGTAATTGGAGAAGATACACATGAATAAGTAACTTTGACCATTAATTATTGATTTAAAAAATTTGAAGCCCAGCAGGGAAAGCATTTGAGTGCCTTAAGATCAAGCTAAACAAGTAATATGAGTTTTGGCCTTGAGTAATGTTCAATTAAAGGAGTGCAGTGATTTGCCGATCGTGTTATTTTTACATCCTCGAACAACAATGCCCAGTGGACAGAAAAACGTCAACAGGGTTCAGCAGGGGAACGGTTGTGCCGGGTTCTCGGGGCACCGATGGTTAGAGATGACAGAGGATGTCCAGAGACGAAACTGTGAGGTTGTTTAAGCAGATGTGAGGCAGTGGTTTATGATATTAATTAAATTAGTTGAGGAATTTGACTGTGATTCACAGACATTTAGTGTAAATAGATCAATTTTAAGGGAGATTAGAATAAGGATGGAGGAGCTATAGTGTACGGACAAGTATTTGTGTGTTCATGGATAAAAAAAGAAAAATAATGAGATGGATTCTAGGTGCCCTTGTCCTGTCTGATACCTTTAGAGATGTCAGGGAAAAATCTCATAGAATGGCTTAACTTTATTAACAATTAATCAGATTTGATATTATTTATGGCAGGTGTGAATTTAGATCCAAAAGTTGCAACAAACAAACTTTCCCATTTGGTTTCCTTTGTTTCTTTTTCTTTGGTTGTCTGGTGAGTTGTCCACACGTTCCAGTAAAGCTGGGGAAAGTTTTGAAATCACTGCACATGAAAATCTGCTGATTTGCTTGTTATACAATCATATAAACACTTTAAGGAGACAAAACCAAAGCTATGACTCATTGTTTAAATTATCTCACTGCTATTAAAACGTGATTTATTTTTTATTTCTTTTCAAAATACATCACAGGGTTTTGTGCTGAAAACACTGAATGTATACACTCACACCTAAACTGCGTGAGCTGGAGCTGCAGCTAACTTTGATTCATCAGATTGGGTAAGATAAAACACAATGCACCAAAGAGCTAATCCTCATTGTCCCTGCATTGTTCCTTCTCTACCTCCAGTCATGATGTTTTCAATCGCTTCGCACATAAAAAGGCCAAAAAAAGTGAGATCCGAGTTTCCTCCTCTTCTTCATCTCTGAACCCTTTGGACTTATGACAGGAAGCTGATTGAAGGGTAAGTAGTGCATTTTGGAGAATGAATTCTTTAGATGATAGAAAAGAGAGAAAGATGGGGGTAGAAACAGAAGAAACCCAGAACATAAGTCTGTGATTCCATTATTAGTCTCAGTTCTCCTCGTCTCTCTTTTCATTTCTGATGGCTGGATAATTAAACCTCTGTAGTATTGTCTTCCATCTTCCTTTGCCCCACTTCCAGCAACGCAAATTTCCCTATGGGCAACTTTAAAAAGGCCCCCTTTTAGACATCTGTTTTTCTGATCAGCATGACGTCTCTTCCCCCTCCTTCGCGTTAATTTGTGTTCTTTGTAAAAGTAGAAAGACTAGAGCCAGGACAGCAATGAGCATACATGTAAAAATCCTCAACACTTCAACAGCAGGAACAAAAGGAAATCAAAGAAAGTAGGAAAAAGAAACCCCAAATATTCCTCCTCAACTTTTTTTTTATTCTACATTACTCTCATTAAAGAACCAAAAACCAAACCTTAAACGTGCATCGCGGAGACATCACAAAGGAGCTCAGAAGCCGAAGCGTTACAGAGCTTCACTTAACAGCAGTCTGATTCAGCCCTGCAGCTTTAGAGAGGAAGGCTTGTCAGTTAGCCTTCCCAGCTCTGACAGAGGCTCTGGGCACCGCGAGGAACAAGCAGGAAAGCAGCAAAACATTCGAAAATGAGCACAGCTGGCAACAACAAATAAATAAAAAATATAAATGTGAAAAAAATCCACGAATATTTGTCCTTGTCACAGTATTTCGTTAAAAAAAAAAGACATGTAAAAACAATCAGTTTGCACAGTTTATTTCAGATTTTTCATACCTGAAATTATCTGGTGTCTAATTTTTCCAAAATTGCTTACAAAAATTCACAGATCTGAATTTTTAAGCTGGATACGAAGCAAGTGGTGAAAGAATATTTGCATGGAAAAGTGTAGTTGAAACCAATTTTCAGAGTCTGAAAATTAAACCAGACAAAATGCTTCCCTGTTTCATTCACTTTATTACTGTCTTTTTCGATAAAGAATAAGTATATATATATATAAACAAAGCAAAGTATCATCAGCTATATTTAAATGTATTTAATGATTTTACCAAGTGGAAGAACATAATAAAGGGAATTGGCCCAGGCACTGAACCTTGTGGCACTCCAAAAATAACCCTGTTTATTCTTCATTGAGGCACTTTGGTAATTTAGCCTGCTGCTAAATTGTCATGGAATCAACGGAAAAAATAAAACATTTATAAACTCTGCCCTTGAATGAGAATTACCGGTATGTGAACAAAAAATGAATATAACAGTTTTGGTGAAGCAGCTCATAAAACATCAATTAGAGCTTTTGAGACAGGACACAAAAACGAAGCTAACATGAACGCTAGTTGCTGTCCGGTTAAATTCTGCTCAACAGGGATGTTTTCATGGAGATACTTCATGCTGCCACTCTCAGAGAAATCAGCCACTGTGTGACCATCGCCTCTCAGGATCCACTTGGTGGTGAGGAGTCCCTCAAGGCCCACAGGGCCCCGGGCGTGAATACGGGCCGTGCTAATGCCGACCTCTGCTCCTGTACAGCAAAACAAACACAACGGCAACAAAACAAACTGTACTGATGGAACGACAGCTGCAGGAGGAAATGTTCACTTTTTGTCAATGCTTCGCAGTTTTAAATATTAGGTCACTGCTCTTTGCCCTTCTTAACCCTTCCAGTCCGAACGTGTCGACGACGATCCAGCCAAATTTGCAGTACCGTAATTCCGCCACACGTTGCGCTATCTGAAATATTCCAACGGTTTCTGAGAGGGGAGACTTTCCAGCCAATATCGAGTTATTACGGTAATTTTACTCCCGCTGTAGCAGGGAGTGAAATTAATCTGAGGAGCTCTCTTTTAATAGACGGTAAATTGTGAAAATAACTTGCCTGATATTGAAAGTTCCTGTTGTTACGTTTTCTTTAATATTTAGGTTTTTCTTGATAGTTTTTATAACATAGGAGTACAGTTGGGTTTTATCATCACTTGTTTTATTTCCATTATGTGCTCCACAAATTATATTTTTAAAAAAGGCTCAAGTCAGGTTCTGATTTGGCAGTTTTAAGCGAATTACCACTTAAATTCATGGCAATTTGAGGTTTAAGTGAGAACAAAACAATTCTTAAACTACAATTCGTAAGCATCTGATGTCTAACTAAAAAAAATGTTTAAACAGTTTAACAAAGTGCTGAAAATTATTGCAGACCGACAATTCTGCAATTCTAAAAAAAAAAAAAAAACATTTTTCCCACAATTCAAAACAAACCTTCAGATTGAATTTGTAAAAGATTAAAAGTTACCAACCGAGTCCAAAGCGATATCCATCAGCAAAACGAGAGCTAGCATTCCAGAAAACACAAGCGCTGTCCAGCTGCTGCAGGAACCGCTCAGCCGTCTCTTCTGGAAAAAAAAAAAAGAACATTTGCTGAAACAACCCTACTTCCTGGATTTCAACGTCTAAGCAGAAGATATCACACCTATTTCAGGTAAAACACTGAATTCACTAACATGCATAAAGCTACATTTCATCGTATCACGAGAATCACGAAAAGTAAAAAAATATGGACAATAACGAAAAGTAGACCCGACGTCTGCAGAAAATTAGGTTTTAACACAGAAAGCTCATTTTGGTGAAAGCAAGCAGCAAAAACTGTAGAACTGAATAAAATTTGAAATAGTACTTAAAGCTAACTTAACTGTAAATTTGCCATAAGCATCTCATGACAGTGACATAAATGACTGATTTGATCCAGCTAACCTTTTAGACATCCATTCTTAGTGAGTTTATTATAGCATAAGTGCATCTTAATAAATTTGAATATTCTTAAAATACGTTTTTATAGTAACTAAATTAAAGTTAGTATATTACATACACACAGAGTGATGTAGTTTGTTTATGTCTAATAAACTAAATTACTCAACTTACATTCCTGTTGTTGTTGTTAAAGAAGGTGACTGGTCATTGAGTTTGGCATTTAAGCATAGAAATAGGAAGTTTAGTGGAAGGAAGAAGTGTGCACAGGCAACAGTAACAACCACAACCATAAGAGTAATGTTTTGGAATAGAAAGGTGAAAAAGAGGTGCTACTGCTGTTACTCAGCAAACAATTTGGAAATCAGAGTCCAACAAATTGGAGGAGATATGACGATGCACAGAATCCAATTTGTTTTAGGTCCAGTGTGAAGTTTCAGCAATCAGTGATGACATACACTGTACAGTTCCTGGGTGTACTGTTCAAAAGAGAACTATTCTCACATAAAAAATATATTTATTTTATTGGTTTTATGTGTTTTTCTAGATTTATCAGTAAGTAAGTTTGGGTTTTCATTAGCTGAGATGCAGAATTATATTAAAAAAAATGAACAGAAATAAACATTTAAAATATACAATTCTTAGTAACAAATCAATATATGAATATGAATTTGAAGTTTTTACTGGAAGTCTAATTTATCATCTTTATACTGAAAGCAATGAAGTAAGTTTCAGTTGGAGTGCAGAATCTTTTTTGGCCACTAGATGGCAGCAATTCATCCTCCTCTCCATCAGTTGATCATCAAAGTAGAAATGTTTGTTGATACTAAAAGAAAAATAGAGCTGCTTTTGTTAAAACCAACTAAAATATTCACATAAGAATATCCGATGTTGGACCCACACAGTGAATGCGTGCATTCATCCTAACAAGAGACAATCACTGCTCATTAAGTGACATGTAAGGGAGAGTTTATTCATTAGCTAGAAAGTAATATTCCCTTCTTGAAGAGCTAGTGTAGCTTTACGCAGTCAGGCTGACGTAAAATGCACGTAACAGTAAAATCACTGCTCCACTCACTGTTTTCTGTGACGATAACATCAGTGTGGGAGCTTCCGTACTTGTGTATATGCTCCACAGCCTCCTGCAGGCCGTCCACCACCTCCAAGCAACACTCCAAGTCACTGTACTCTGTGCGAAGGGAGCTGGCTTCTGATGGACTGAAGGTCAGGTAGGAAGCAAAGCGTGGGCCTGAATGAATCTTCACCTGATAAAACCACACAAAACGTTACACAGTTAGTTTTTGATAAATTTTGGAATAAAGTAGGTTAAAAAAATCAGGATATGCTACATTTATATTGCAAATGTGAGCTACGTTGAACATAAAAACCAGAAGCACAAATGTCTAGAGACTGATTTTACTTATTCATCAAATATTTAAACATGAATTGTTCCCATCCACATATGAAAAGTTCTTTGAATTTGATTTCTGACTAAAGACCCTCTCTATTTGCAAATATAAAAACACACACACTTAAGGGAGATTTAATGGAATATATGTGTATCTTTATCTTTACAATACCCTCCAACAAAATCCTCAACTTTTAATGTAAGTATATTTACTAAGTGGGGGGAAAAAAGCTGGTCAAAAATACATGTTTTTTCCAAAATCACCAATTTTAAATGCTCCTCTTTGGATTGTCCTGAGTCGTAAGCTATGATTTCTTCAGTTCACCCCACAGGTTCTCCACAGGATGTATAATATTTCTCTTACCTGTTCATTGCGCAGTATTTCAATTATCTTGTCAAACATTGGAGTCCTGAGGATTTCTCGGTGAATTAGCAAAGTTTCCATTGAATTGCATGCAGCTGGGTAGTCACACTTGGAGTCTCTCACTGATCGGGAAAAACAGACGGGAAAACTGCATTTCAGGTGCACTAAACTCTGAATCTACTACTCCTGAGTAACGTTAGAAACAGTATTAGTTTGTGAAAATAAAAAGGGAACATGCACATGAACTTCAGACTTTGTGAGCTGGATTTACAGACCGATTTTTATGACTTTATCAACATTAGCGTCTGCATCAACGTAGACGTGGCAGATTCCCTCGCTGTGGCCCAGGACTGGGATGCCCTTGGCTGCTCGCTGAATGTCCCGCACTAGCTGTGACGAACCTCGGGGGATGATCAAGTCAATCGTCTTGTCCAGTCGGCAAAGATCCTCTACTTCCTCATGAGTGTTCACCTGGAAAGAAGCACCAGAAGATGAACGTTTATAGTGCCATGCAAATGTTTTCCAACTCCTCTGTTTTAAAATGTCGTCAGATTACGCTACAGAACAAAAGAGTCGTATCTCATCATCATATCTCAATGAAGCAGAATATTTTTAACTAATGAAAATCTAAAAACTGTGTATTCCTTTTGTTTTCAGCTACACTGATACCCCTAAATAAAATCCAGAAGTAATCTAGTTAGCAAAAAGATCATCGCAGATGTTCTCTGAAGGCTTCAGAGGTTTACAGGAGAACATTAGTGAACAAACAGCATCATTGCCACCAAGAAACACAGCAGACAGGGCAGGGATGAAGTTGTGGATTAGGTTACAAAACAATAACCATGCAGCATGTAACTGGAGCAAAAATCGGTTCTACAAAGTAATGACTGAAGAAGGGTGAACACAAATGCATGAACAAAAAGTTCAGATTTTTAGCCACTGAATATGGCAGACATGGACCCATAAGTCCCTCTCCTCTACATATAATGACTGCACAGGGTTTATACACGCCATTAATAGATGAATAGAAACAGTTTTACCATCTGTACCGCCTCTCTGACTCCATGCAGAGAAAGGGCTTCCTGAGTGAGCTGGTGCAGGACACGGTTGGTGTTGGCAGCTTCTTTGCCGCCCTTCAGCAGAAGAGCATTCCCACTGGCTACTGCCAGAGCAGAGACCTTGATAAAGAAAAAAGGTGCAACATTCCAAACACAGGCCTTTGTCGCTTTGAAAATATCAGAATACAGTTCAGATTGCTCGCTTGCAACAGAGAACCAAGTCTGGACCTCACGCCTTTTTTGTCTTTCCACATTGTTTCATAAGACACTCAACTTTGTCCTATAACTTTACCTGTGGCAGGCAGTCAGGACGGGCTTCAAAGATGACCAGAAGAACCCCGATGGGAACTGTGACCTGCTCCAGCTCTAAACCAGGAGCCACCCTGGTTCTTCGCACCACACGCCCAACGCTGTCCTGAGCCGCTGTGGCGATCTGACGCAGACCAACGGCTAAACTACTTAGCTTAGCCGATGACAGGCTGAGACGCTTCAACATGGCTGGAGGCAAACGTCCTGGAAAAACGTCAAATCATGGGGAAAAGGGAAACAACTGTGGTCAGATTAGGTATGTTGTTGAAGTTGCTGAAGTTTTTCAAATTTTTGCATCAAAATTAAATGTTGAATTTGGCGGCTTTATGGCACAATACAGACACTTTGGCTGACAAACAGAATGTTTTATGCACAATATGCCACCGAAATACCCTGGATTTTACCAGGATCAAACCTGCTAGAAACTCAAGATCTGTTTTTTTTGAAAGATTTCTTCTTTTCTGGTATAAAATCCAACAAATCAAACCATGTTTTTTCACAGAGCTGCTACGACACTGTTGCCCACTGAAACCCAAAGTGAAAGTGCAGCTACATTGATGTTTCAGTCGATTCCTGTACTGATAATTTTACCAAAATGAACTGAAAAAGGCTTGAAAGAGCTGGTTCAGTTTTCAACCGTAGAGTCACTGTACTACTTTAAACCAGCTTCATCAGTTAGAAAACTGAAATAACAGATGTAGTATGCTCACATAAATAGATATAAAGCACCACAGGCATGTTGTCCTGTTGGTAGGTGCAAAAAAATATAAAATAAATGCAGAAAAAAAACAGAAGGACCTGACAAATTTGATGAAAACCTGTTGATGACTCTAAATTAGTATATCTAGAATTATTTTGGTCAGCAAAAAGAACAAATATGTAGAGACTTAAAGTTTTACTTTAATGTGAGCTCTTGGTCGGCACTAAATGGAAAACTCTGGTCCTGTTACCTGCGCTGACAGCCATCTCCATGTCCATCTTGTTTGCAGCCAGAATTTCATCTTTCTTTTCCGTCAGCAGCTCTGCTAGATGGCAGATGATCTTGCTTCTCTGACATTGCAGATAACAAAACACAGACAGAGTACAGGCTCAGCATGGGGCAGATCTGTCTGCTAAAGTTCAGAGTTTCTCTGTAGCCGACAAGGTAGGAAAGCAAGTAAAATTACAAATAATGAAGGTTTACAACCCGCAAAGTGGCACATAGAAACAACAAGATGACATGTTGTGATTGAGATCCGTTCATCACCTGGTGTGGATGAAGAGATGCCAGGATTCGTCCTGAGTTTCTGGCCATTTCTGTTTGCTCCTCCACAGACGGACCTGGAACCGAGAACAGAGTCCAGGATGAGACAGACTGACAGTCATGTAAAATCTCTGATCTGATACCGGGATGCACCAACAAATCTGCCAGAAACTGGAGTCCATTTTCTTGTTGTCATTTCTGATTGGTAACTGGCAGGTCAAATGCTGAAATATAACTTTTTTTTTTTGTATTCACTTTTGGATCAAAACTAGGAATCCCAATTTCCTACAAGTTCATGGATATGTGCTGCATTGCACAAAAGAGGTAAATATTTTTAACGCAACAAACTAAGCATTTATTTACTCTTTCATTGGAAAAATGAAACTAGAATCAACAGATCGGACCTCAAAGAAAACCAGGTATTGGCTTGGAAAAGATCTTATTCAAACACACCAGCAGGTTTGACCTCAGAGAAGAAGGTTCCCACTTTCTTCCCCTCGACTATGTCAGTGATTACTTGGCCGGTTACTTTGGGGTTTGTGCCGTTTGCAATGACCACTGAGGTGCCTCCTTGCAGCGCCCAAAGAGCTGCCTTAACCTGCAACACAGTTACACAAATGCTAAAAGAGTTTTACTTTCTCATAAGAAAGATAAAAACAAGGAGTTAGATAAAACGCGATAAATTAAGAGCACCTTTGGTATTTTTTTTCCTTGTTTGAAATGCAACTGGTCACTTAAAGTCCTCATAGAAAAAAAACAATACTTTTAGCATTTCCATTTTCTCATAAGCAGAAATAACCTGCCAATAATTTTATGTGTACAAATGATGGAGAGACTTGTAACAAACCTTGGCCTCCATGCCTCCAATCCCAACTCTGGACTTTGTCCCGTAGGTGATGGACTGCTGGTCTCCAGGGTAGAAAATGTCTAGGAGTTTAGCATCATCTGTTCCAGGTGGGCTATTGAACAGCCCTGAAAAACAAACAATCTAATTCAAACTGTACTCTTCCAAACCAATGAATCTGAAACAGTCAGAGCTCAGAGCTGCCATTTCAATCCAGGGGGTAAATAAAGTATCAGTAGAGACATTTTACCAGAAAAGATGGATTTTATTGAGAGGCATAAGGGTAAAAGGAAGAATATGAATGCATATCACACTAGTAAACCACGTTCACTTAACAACTCTGCAATACTTTCTAACCCCAATAGCTTATATTGAAGTGTGAAGTTTTATAAATACTTCTATGTGCATTTTTTACACCAATGTGAACTTTAGAGCTCACTATTAGAATTGGAAGACATTTAAATTAATTAAAAAAAAAATTACTTAGCTTTTATCCAGAGCAGCATTTAAAAGATTTCTAAGGCATTAAATGAGGCTTTAAAGATGATCTATGCATTCATGTGGGACAACCAATCAGAACAAAAGAGGATTAAAATCCCAATTCTAATGTATCATCAAGGTGAATAGAAAATAGAAAATTCTGATTTGTATTTGCTGCTTCCAAATGACAGAGTTGCAAAGTCAGACTGTGTTATTATTTAACTACAACCCCAAATTGTGGCGGAGACGTTCATACCTTCAACGTCGGACAGCGCTATGAGCAGGTCAGCCTTCATCTCCACGGCCAGCCGCGCTGCCAGACTGTCGTTGTCCTTAATGCTGATAACCTGGAGAACCAGAATCATCTAGATTCAACTTTCTAGTGAATTTCAAAGTTGAATCTAGACTCATCTGAGTCTAGATTATTTCTAGACTCTCAGATGTTTTCTGAGAATCTAGAAATAACCTAACAAACAATAAGAAGCACAGCACACGCTAATAAAGATGAGTAACTAAGACTAAAGTAATCTTTTCATTGGAGTAGCAGAATTTTGTAATGAAAACAATCCAACCTTAAATTAAGTTTGACTCTAGAAGCAAACTTTAAATTAAATTAATCAGGGACAGTTAGCCCAAATTAAGACAGAAACGGTTGGCCAGACACAAAATCTTCCATCATAGATATGTATATGTAAATATATACACATACAGCAGGGTTTCCCCCAGTGTATTAAACTAATAATTGACACTTAAACTAATAACTGATTCATTTTCCATCTGTATTATGGTAACAGATGGTTGCATTTCCATTGGTCGCCCCATGCTGCCTGTACATTTACCCCCTGCAGGTCACTGTTGGGTTCTGGTGGAGGTACCACTGCATCATTGGTGTTGATGATGGGAACGATGTTCATGTGCAGCAGCTCCTGCAATGTGCTGTTGAGGTTCTGCCTCTTCTCATCATCGTGGAAATCCAGATTCGTCACAAGAACCTGAGGAAACAAAAAGGATTTAAGAGAAAGAAAGGGTAAAGAAAATAAAAGTTCTTAAATGTTTGACCCATCTAATTAAGTTTATATGAGTACCTGTGCAGTGCATGTGCTGTACTGAGTGAACATGGCTTCATACAGAGCCATCAGCCCACTCTGTCCAGCCGCAGCGCAGGCTCGGGCCTCCAGAGCTGGGACAAACTGCAACCAAAATGACACCCATCTTGTAAAAGCAAGAATTAGTGTGCAAAGTTCATTTTATTGTAGATTTATGGGTGAATTTTTCTGCCATAATTCGAGAAGACACATTTTCAGTCTGAAAGCTGGATTTCATATCTTTTGTTCTCAAAACTTTTAATACTTGTGCTTATATTTTCAGTTTGAAAGCAGGACTTCATGCCTTTCTTCTCAAAACTAGTAGTACTTGTACTCAAAACTTCTGCTCTCTTTCAAATATTCACTGTGCTTTCTCAAACTTTTCTCCTTATGCTCAAAACTTGTCAAATCTCCGCTTGCTAACCTCTCTGCTCGCTTGCAAATCATTTTCTGCTCGCACTTGGAACGAAAAAGCACCGTCTCCTGGCAACCTCTCAGCCAATAGAACGAAAGTGTTACACTGGGTGCGTTTGTTTCCTTCTAGAGGGTGAGCCTGTGTGGCTACTATCGATCTGCGCTGCCCGCTGAATGCAGGGAGAAACAAAGACCTCAGCTTTCTTTGCATTACATCCCAGTTTTAAACTTTAACACGGTCCACAACATTCCTAGTCTTTCCCTTACCATCTCTTTATGTTGACCGTTTCCTGAATGTAGCGCCTGTCGGACGCTTTGAGACAGAAGGATCTCATGTCTTAACCTCTGCTTGCCAAAAGCCACGGCTCCACTGGTGACGATCATCATCTCCCTGCCCTGATTCTGCAGCATGGCCACCTGAACAGCAATACAACCAGTTAAAAATACAACTGATACCTTCCATCTAACAATATATATCGTTAGATGGAAGGTATTAATTGTATCAAAATATGATATAAGGTATCAATATATGTTTTGGATGAAAAAAAAGACAATAAAGTGAATTTTATGCTGATTTTATAGTACAAAAATGTAACTTTAGTAACTGGAGACTCACCTGCTCCACAATTGAAGCCAGTCGCCCAAGAGCCAGACCACATTCATCGTCACGGGTGACCACAGCGCTTCCTAGTTTAACCACAATCCTCTTGGCCTTACGCAGTTTGCCGCGATGTGCAAACGAGCTGCCATGAACTCTATTACTGAATTCTGTAAATAATAAGGAAATCTGAGATTTTCAGATCAGACATACAAACATTTTTGCTTATTTATTGAATTTTATCAATGAGGATGGCATGAAACTTAGCTCTCTGCTAGTATTTTAGCTGCCTTGTTCCATAATATCACCATTAATGACAAGTTGAAAGACCTGGTTTTATTAGATACTAATTTAAAACTAAAAAAAACCTTAAAGTTACCAATTTATCACTAAAGTTACTTTACTTCACTCTGTAAAAAGTGAATACTTTACTGGATAGTATCGCTCTTTTCTATAAATGAGGCTAGGAGAGTGAAGGTCTTGTTTTAAATCTTTTTGTATCCGAGGGAAACTGGGAATAATGGCCTTGCGACTGCCACATCAGCAGTGCAAGCAGACAGAAAGCCTTTGCTGACACCACACATCTTTCTGCACCAATGAGGTGCCTGAGTGGACGAGGGACAAACCCAGGGCACATTTTATCAGAAATCTTTTTGTGGACACAAAAACCTTAAGAGTTTTTATAAAATGCATGATTTAAATGTAACTGCACCAGTCTGTTTATCCATTTTCATAAAAAAAGACGTGTTTTCTAATCTTCTAGTTTAACATCACTTAGTATTTCTTCCAGAAAATGTCAGTATATTCTGAAATATGTACATTACACAATATCCTTTTACAGACTAATGTTGAACTTTTTAGAATTTAAATACTGAAAATACACTGCTAAAACCTTTTAGACTGCAACTGGTAAGTTCAAGATCATCATTTTATATAAAATTTCTTAAGCCAACAATATCTGACAAACTAGAAACCAAACTTAATAAATCGGATTTTTTAAGTAATTATTTAAAATAGCTGTTTTCTTTTTGTTTGTTTTTTATCTGATTGTTGTTGTCCCATTTTGCTGTGATAATGTTCACACATATTTAACAGATGATTGCAACATTAGGTAAAGAAGTGCAGTCTTGCCTTGAGTCAGATGTTTGGTGAGAAACTGGAATCTCTGTGGTGAGATTTTTGAGCACAGTTTCAGCTTTTGTAGCAGCATGTTCAGCTTCCCTTTTATCTGAGAAATAAACAGATATACAGCAATTTAAAATAAGAAATAATATAATGAAAATTAATAAAAAAATGTGTTTATTAAAAATGAAGATGTAATCAATGATGTGACACATTAAACTTTAAAGACTTGTTTTATGAATAAAGTGCAAATAAGTAAGGATTTTTTCTTACTTTAAACCTCTGAAGTTCCACTATAGAAATTGTGTTCCTGTTGTAGTTTCTATAAAACCTTCTTCATCTTCTTTGACCATTTATTTCTCTCTCCATGACTGACAGTGATGAGTGAGCAGCAGAGCAGAGCGCCACATGTCAGTGACTCCTCCCTATAACAATCCGAGCTGCTGATTTATGGAGCTAAAACGGTCTCATAATTAGCTCCATAGATATCCGATACGTATCTGATTCAAATGTGACCGAACGTCCAGGTCGAATTCATCCGATTTGAACGTCACTGATACTCGACAGACGTCACTATTCTGCGTCCTAATACGCGCAAGCGGAAATAAAAACAACAACCACGGCAGACTATAATGAGGATTAAGATGTTAATATGCTGGCTCCGGTTGGACAATAACCTCAAAATCGCAAGCTATGCTCCACTGTTAGCATCCACGTTTACTTCCGCAAACATTCTTCTTTATGCCGGTTGGCAAATCACTGAGCACCCTATGTGTGACGTTATTGCGCCCTCTACTGCGCATGCGGGACACTTTCAGGTCGTTTGCAGTTCACACTGGCGATCACATACAGGTCGAACATATTTGGAAGTGTGAAAAAAAATCGGAACTGGGTCATTTCAGGCTGCAGTGTGAACATTGCCTAACCGTTTAGAAAATATTTTTTACAGGTTTTAACCCCGTTTATTGGAAATGAATGATGATGTTATCATCATTCATAATTTCTATGTAATCAGTAATTATGTTTTATTAACAAGGTAAAAAGAGCAGGAATGTATTTTAAAAAACCAAAGGAGAAAAAAGCAGCATATTGAAAAACACCCAGATAAAAGAAAAACAATATTTTAGGGTACTCTCGGAAACAGAAAGCAGAGCAACTGAATGTTGTGTGTTTATGTAACTGGATATGAATTGGATCTGTTTGTTTCTCTTGAGATAACATTTCTTCATAATTGGTGCAATATAAATCAACTTTATTCAATTGAAATAATGTCTTTCAGACTCAATAAAGATTTGCTTGACAATGTAACTTTTATTGGGTTGGTGTGTACAGGATCAAGTACAAGATATTAAGTTCTTGTTTATGGAGATATTAATTTTGTCCTTTGCTTTATGATTCAGTCTTTCCAGTGAGTTACTGCTTCTGTGCACAATACTTGCAAGATGCAAGAGGATGTTATGGTGACTTGCATCACATTTTGAACGTTCAAAATGTGAAGTTCAATAGTTTTGAGTTTATAGATATAAAGATTAACATTTATATCTATAAACTCAAATGTATTTATAATTTGATTGTATGAAAGGTCAATTCAAAGCAGAAGACAATTAAAAGGTGGAATGAAAATGAAAAGTAAAATCTGAAAAGTGTGTTGTGCATTAAAATAAAGTACAACACAAATCACCTTTTTGTGTGTAATTTAAGTTCAATATGAAAATTATTTTGTAATTGAAAAAAAAAAAAACTCTTGGAGGATGAAAATACCTTTGACTGGTGCAATGGTTTACCCAACAACTCAGCAATGCCACAATGCAATGCTTCAGATTAAATAACATTAAAGTTTAAGAATGGTCCAGTCAAAGTCTTAAATTTAACAGATTCTGTATCTTCAGAAGACCTTCTGGTGTAACCGCAGTGAAAGGTGTTTCCACTAAATGTTACTTCAGGAAGGCTGAATTCAAATCCACGAAAACACTTTCTTAAAACTTTGTAGAAAAACTGTAAAACTGTATTTCCCCACTCCCCCGTTATGTTCTACATTGTGTTGTTCTATCAGAAAAAATGAAGTTTGCAAAAGTACTTTTGCACTGAACCTCAAGTTTGTTTAGATTACTTAAATCTTTAGTCTCAAAGTTTCCACCACCTTTCCAACTTCTAGCTTGCCGTATTTTTGTTTTAAACAACTTTTCCCTCTCAAAAGTGCACTTATGCTCGCTGAAATAAACTTTAAAATAAAGTCAAAACCTCAGGCCCGTCATCCTGATTAGTTCTTTTAGAAACTGGCCACCTTTCATTTCCTCTGTGTGGCGATAAAGAAGTCAAATTGATCAAAGTTTCGTGTGTACCTGCACCATCCTGCTGCGGCTACATGAAAAGTAACCCGGAGCAGGGTTGACTGACACAGCTGAACCCCCCCCAACACCCCCCACCCCCCACACCCACTACCCCTGGGACCACAGATAACTAAATTGGCTCCACTGGCTCTGGTTAAATGTGTGTTATTCCATTATATGAGCCCTGCTCCTTTTTTCTGCTCCCTGCTTTTACCCTTTATCTGGTCTTCTGTGATCCTCTTTGCTCTTTTATCTCTTCATCTGACTCATGGGAAGGAACTGCCCTGCACCTTTCTGCTGCCTCTTTCTAATCTACTAACTGCATTTGTTTATGAAGGTCCGCGTCCGTGTGACTGCGCACGCAGCCAAGTCGTGCGTTCTTCTTGCACAAAGTTTACCTGCAGGTTTGTCCATTTTGATTCTGGATTGGTTGGTTTTTTTTTTGTTGTTGTTTTTAAGCCTCCTTTAGAATGAGATCATTCATTTATCTGTAATTATGTGTTCATATATTCATCATTACTTATTCTCTGATCCCGCTGAGTACAATCAGTCTTAACACTGAATGTGAACAAACAGAAATGTATCACACCTGCTTACGAAGAATATTCATAATATAAAGATGGATACATTTGCAGTGGAGTGGTGAAATATACATTTTCTGAGACTGTATACTTAAATTTGCTCCATGAACCTGTTTTAATAAAACAGGTTCATCACAGGTTGTGATTTAATAAGAGTTATAAGTTAGTGTTCAATAATAGGGTAACTTACAGATCTATGCTCACTTTGATCATTATGCTTGACAGTTCATCATCTTCAGATACGAACCCTCATTTGACAGCTCCAAACATACTTCCTGTTGCGAAATATTTCAATTTTTGTCTTGTCTCACACTAAAACTGGACCAAGATTCAGTTTAGCGCTGAATCCAAGGCGTGATTTATTAAAAATCAAAACTTGGACTTATCAAGCAGGTGGTATGTCAGGAAGAGAGCAAGTCAACAAGGTGAAACCAGAGAGGCAACAGGAACAGAAAAGAGTTACTGAATGAGGAGCAGCAGAGGGCTGAGGCACCCAGGGAGACAGAAAAACACAGCAGAAAATAATTTCTTTAACATAGAGAAATAAAAAATTAATGCAACTAGAGCAAAATAAATGCTCAAGAAACACGGAGCTAAATAACAAAATGCAGGAATAACTCAAAACATAAAAAAATTGTCTCCAGAAGCATTGGCCATCTAGTTTAAAGGTGCCAGGCTAGAAGCAGGGGCTTTTTTCTTGGCCAAGGTCAGTAAACAGTGCTTTACTGTGGACAGTATTCCATCAGAAAACAGCCAAAATGGTTTAGGAATAACCAAATCTCAAATCTGAATACATGAGTTGTATAATCACTTCAGTCTCCAAAAACAATGATTCAAGACGACGATTAAAGATTTACAGCAAATGTTTCAACACGTGTTAATACAAAAATCAGAAATGATTGAGTAGTTTTAAAGTTAAGTATGAAACAATGAAACAAACATAAAAATCTTAGCTTGAGCCAGCTGTGTATCTGTTTTACAGAATCTGAGCATTTTCTCAACTGTTTGTTTTTTCCTAAAGTAACTATGCAGGTGGGAACAAGGCTGTAATAAAACTGCCACGGGGGCAGAACTAACACCCCCATTCTCAGCCCAGATGAGGTAAAACTGACCAGTTACACTGATAATAACTGAAAAAAATCAGAGCAACCATACTGTTCCTGGTGAGAAATACCATTTGTGTGTGGAAAAGTTCTGTCCAAACCAAACATCAAGGGGAAGGGCTGGCATGTCCTTCCCCTTGATGTAAAAGGTAGAAAGTGTGTTTTTTTGTTTGTTTGGTTTTTTGTTTTATATAGATATAAAGAATGAGAAACTTGTCATTCTTGAGAAATGTTTTGGTCTTTTGTGGTCTAATATTTGTATTGTTATGCTAATGACATTCAAATATATTTCTCTTAAACATATAACCTCTGTTGAGCAGAACACAGAAAGCAGAGGCTGTGAAATAATTTTCTTACCTTAAATGAAAACAAGATGGAATATTATTGAATTTTGAAATTATGTTGCTTTTTCATGTTAATCTGACACCTTTGGCCTTCAAGTCCTCGTCAAACTGCTTGGTTAGCTGATGAGACCAGACTTTCCCTCTCAGTCTTGTAGAGTTGGAGAACATTTGCAAGGCAGCGTGTGCAAATATTGCCAAGTCAAGATGTGGCATGTTGATAGACAAAGAAGAAATCAAATTCAAACATGTTCTAAAAATCTACCTGTATAGATCATGGCTTGAAAATACATGTGCAATGAAGTTTTAACTTTTTTCAATGATTTAAAAAAAAAATTAACAGATGCACACTGTTTGGTGTTGACAAATGTATTTGCATCAAGGAGAACTTACTGTTTATTCTACATATTGTACCTGAATATCAAATATAATGTCTCACTGAGAAAGAAATGAGCGATTTGTCTTATGAAGGTACATCCTAGACTGCAGAGAAGGACCTGAAAGGCCATAAGAGTAGTGCATTAATGGGTGTCGTGTTGGAGAAAAGCCCCTGATATGATGGCATCAATGCTGCAGGGCAGAAAACAGAGCAAGTGAACAAATGCTATCAGCATTGGCCAAAAAGAAAACAAACAGGATCGCTATCTCTGCAAGAGTGGCCCGAAGCACATACACACACATAATAGCACAGATACACCGATACACGCAGGTATAAAAGTCAACGTTCAAGCGGCAGCAGCACACCTGAACACTGACCAACTGCAAAGACAGAGGTGAGGAAACATGATGGAGGAAAAGGGGAAAGAAAACGGCATAGCAGCTATGGCAGCCTGCTACCAGAAATTTGATCCCGCAGCATATTTGCAGTACAACTACACTCCACCACGCGCTGATTTTGCAAGAAAAGACAGCATCGTGCCTTGGAAACTGGCCTGTTTACACAGAGCTTTCACCGAAGGTAATACGTTTGTCATAAAGTAATTTCCATAGAACGGATGTGCTACCATCTCACTATAACCAGTAACTTTTGTGTACTGTCAAAAGTTTTAGTGCAGCGTCTTTGTATTTTTTTTGTCCAAATGGAAACACTCAAGTTAACCTGTTGTTACGGTTTGATCAGAGCTTACCTAAAATCATATCTGATGTGTTTAAGAAATGTTGAACTTTTGTGCTACTCTAAAGCGTCTCTGCTGCAACTTTACTTCTTTTTTCTTCTCCCCATTTCTCCCAGGGGATGTGAGCGGTGAGCTCCTGGTGGACATCGGATCAGGTCCCACTTTTTATCAGGTGATGAGTGGCTGTGAAGTTTTCAACAAACTGATCCTGACAGATTTCTTGGAGATCAACCGACGGGAGCTGCGGCGCTGGCTTCAGGATGAGGGAGGATGCAGCCTGGACTGGACTCCCTACCTGGAGCATGTCTGCAAGCTGGAGGGCCGACGGTATGAAAGTGTCTTGATAAAAAGAAATGATTTGCATATTTTGACAGACTACTACCTCAAATTTAAATGCGGCAGACCAGCACAAAGTAGTGCATTGTAAGGAACTGAAGGGAAAAATGGTTGTCAAACTCAGAGAAACTCTGAAAGTGTGCCATTTATATGTATGTAAAGCATATTAATGTGTCGGAATGGTCCAATCAAAGTCCATTCCAATTGAGAATGTGTGTTAAGACTATAAATCGCGCTCACAGATGTTCAGCATCCTTTTGGACTGAGCTTTAGGAAATTTACAAATAACCCTGGCCAACAGTTTTGGGCATTAGATGTGCCAAGATGGTAGAGACGTATCCCAAAACACTTATTTTGGGACTGAATACAAATACAAAAGTTCTTTGGATATTTTTTCTTTCCACTTCAATATGATGCACCACTTTGAGTTGAACTATAAAATAGTAAAATACCATAAATTTGTGGTTAAAATTTGGCTAAATACGACTGAACAAAAGCATCCTCACAGCGTGATGCTACCAGTAGCAGGGAATTGTGTGCATAGGGTAACTTTTAGCTTAATTATTGTGCTACTTTGTGCTATGTAACATAGAGAGGGGTGCTAAAAACCTGAATAAAACTCATGTTTTAATTTCTAGTACTGTCAAGTTTTACAAAGTCCTGCTAATGATCCAATAATTTGACTTAAGTGTTTTGAAGCAGTAGAACAATGAGTCACGGAGTTTGGGTCTCTCCTCTAACACGTATAATCACGATAAACACATTCAAGGTGTCTGAATACTTAAACGACACTCTATTTGTTGCCTGATTGCATGTAAGTTGATGATTGTTCAGCGCTGTTTTTACCAGGTCCTCAGCTTGGCCTGAGAAGGCTAACCGGCTGCGTCAGGTCGTGTCGGACATCCTTCCGGTTGACGTGCACTGTTCCCAGCCTGTGGCTCCGGACTCGCTTCCGTCAACCGGGGCCGACTGCCTGGTGTCCTGCTTCTGCCTGGAGAGCGTCAGCCCCGACCTCCCCGCCTTCACCAGGGCGCTGGGTCACATCGGGAAGCTGCTTCATCCCGGAGGCCACCTGATGCTGATCGGAGCCCTGGGAGAGAGTTATTATTTCGGTGGTCCAGGGGTGAGGATCCCCGTGGTCCCCCTGAATGAAGCCCAGGTCTGTGAGAGTTTGAGGGAAACCGGTTACACCCTGATCAGGCTTGAAGTCTACACTCTGCCTCAGGATATGCGGGTTGGAGTCGATGATGTGACTGGGGTGTTTTTCGTAAAGGCGAAGAAGGATTAATTGAGGTCACTGGCATTTGCTGCTTATTAGTCAAATATAAGTTGAGCAGTCAAATAAATTCACATTCGTTGTTTTTTTTTTTCTTTGAATGAGAAGTTAGTTTAAATGTAATTGGAGAAAGAATTTCTCCTCAAAAGTAAAAATGTTTTCCAAGTTTCTCGGGCTTTAGCTGTGAGGAACGCAGTTAAAGACTGACCCCTGGTGGTGAAATACGGCTACTACAGCTGACACAGAAACCTCTAGTAGTCAAAACATTTTGTGTCATTTGTAAATGTTTTATCTATCTATTCTATGTTATATCCTTATAAAAATAAAACAACAATGTCTGTCTTGTTCGCTTATATAGATATGCTCTATATATGTTTATATATTATATTGAGAAAGCATAACATGATGTGAAAAGCCTAAAAAATATATAATTTAGAGCAAAATTTTAAAAAAAAAGTATGTTTTACTCATCTGTGTGGTGAAATTTATCTGCATTTCTGGTGTGTGATGTTGTGCAATTGGATAAATTAAGCACTAGATGTCACTTTACGGCTATTTATACCTGTAAGTCAAACTCAAACAATGAAGACTAATGGGAGCCTACGGTACTTCCTGGTGTGATCACTCCTGTTCCACCTACAGACCCACAGTCACTACGTAACAATCCTGAAGTGCTGTAATACAGACAGACAGAAAGTGACTGCACTTCTTGTTTTCCTTCACCTCTTATCCAAAAGGCTTCTTCAGATTGTCACAATAGCTTTGGATTATTATGTCGTTTTGGGATCATAAGTTCCTGACCTACTGCATCCTGAGTTCCTGGTCCAGAAAAACGTGAAGTATTTCACATGTTTCAAAAAGTCAGTGGTTGTAGAACCTGAGAAAGAGCTAAGACTGCAGCATGGTATACTGAGATAAAATCTTTACTTCACTGTAGATTTCTTCTGGTTTGCCATACTTAAGTGTTTTAGATCAGGGGTTTTGAACTCATGTTCTTTTTGGCCCATGTCAAAAATCTGAATGTTCTTAAAGGGCCAGTTGTGCCAGAATGTATTCATAAAACCAATTCAACTGTAAAAATATCAATAAAAAGCTTTTTGTCTCAGCACCCAATAAGTGTTTCTTAAAATAAAATAATAGTCTTTTTACGTTCTGATTGAACGTAAAAATAACCTGGATATTAAAAATAAAAAAAAAGAATTTGTGGGTTTTTTAACAACCAAAATCACAGATTTTGTGCCGCTACTTTATAAATATTTGTGAAGAATTTTTATGATATTCGTACTAATGTGTGATGTTAAACACATCTTTTTATTAATGGCCGTATCGATTGCGGTCTATAATTTGACATCAAGTAAGGCTGAGGCAGTAGTCACTTAAGCCAAAGATTTTGGCTAATTTTGAGAAACAATTGCAGTAAAAATCAGAGAAAATGTGGGAATTTGTAGATTTTGTGTGAACATTGAGTGAATTTTGCACATTTATTGAAAAACCGGAGGGACTTATTCATGTAAATTGGAGTTTAGAGGGCTACATAAAAAGCTGTGGTGGGCCACATTTGGCCCGCGGGCCTCGAGTTTGACACATGCGTTTTAGATAATCAAAAGTTAATTATACCAGACTAAATATACAACCCATTTTATTCTCTTAAAATGAATATGTGACATTCTTAAAAGTGACACAACATTCTGGACCACCTAACCCGTTAGATACACAAAGGAAAATATTTTATTGCGTAATTTTTACAGGCAGATTGTTCAATCCCACTTAAAGCAACAACCTGTTCGAATAGGTTTATTAAGAATGAATGCATTAGTTATATACACAGGTTAATATATTATATAAAGATTAATAAATGACCAGGTAATTTATTTAACTGTGCAAGACTACCGATGCCAGTTAAAAGTGCTTTCTCAACTCGATCACATTTGCTACAGGGACCACCTGTTCATAATGTCCCAGCACATAAACATGGCTACATTATCACGATTAGTTGGATTACTCCCCATAATTATTAAGATGGCAGCTGTGCAGATGTGATCATCTGTTATTTATCCTCTTTCCTCCATTGACCTTGTGTGCAAATATTCAACACAGTTTGCATCTTCAGAGTGAAACGAGTGAAATTATGATAATCTATGACCAAACATGTATATGTAGCGATTATTGTAGTTGATGTAAATGTAAGTTTTATTTTTATGTGGCACTTTGGTGCATGTGGTCTAACATCTTAATTTACAATTTGTAGCCAAGAAAGTAAACTACAGCTAAAAATCTTACTCCTGTTTTGATGCTGACATGGAATATTTCTCCAGCTTTCTCGGCTGTCTCGGGTTAAACTTTAACCCATATCTGCTCATTTATATTCTTCCCAGATGATTGTATGTTTCCTCTGCTCTTTCTTTTTCCACCTCCAGCTTTATTGTTGCATGCATGCACACACCCGCAGACCTAAAAAGCACATATGTACACGCAAAAAATGTCCACGCATGTGCTGCACAGGCGCGTTCTCTACAAACTCTCTTGGCCAGTTTGCCTTCTTTTTGTCATTCCCCCTTTTCTTCCTCCAGTTCTGTGGTCTCGGCTCTTGCGTCTGAACTTCCCAGCATCTCACAAAGATCCGTTGAAGGTTCGCTTTTTTCTCTTAAATCTGCTGTGAAAGAAGTTTTAAATGGAAAATCACTTCCTATTCAGAAAAAACTTCAGTATTAGAGGGGAAACTGTGCACCACCCACTTGAAGTCGATGCCGCCTGCTGCTTTTCCTCATCATCGGGTTGCTCCTCTTCCTCTCCAGAAGAGGGCGCTTCTCTGTCCAGAGACTTCAGGTGTGCTGCCGCCAACATCTGGACAGCTGGAAACACAAATTAGTAAAACAGAAACTCAAACAGATGGAAGGGTTAATGTCTTTGACGTTTGGGCTAAAAGTGTTTAACTTACAAAAGAGGAAGAAGAAAGATGGTGAATTCACCATGTTTGATTGCTCAATAAGACGCAGATCACATCGTTTAGGGACTGAATCAACACACTGACCTCCTTATCTACAATTTTTCTGTTCTCAAAACTTCCTTTTTAGCTAACATGGTCAGGGAACTAATGCTAAAACATCACTTGTCTTTGTTCGGTAGTGCTGCCGTTTTCTGTCACAGATAAATAACAAAACCAACCGTCTGCCTATATGACGTAATCCAGACCATGATTCATCTGACCAGGTCAGGCACAAGGGAGTTTGACCTTTCCAGAGGGAGCTGGGAGTGACCTTAGCGATACTCCCCTACATATTAAATATAAAATGATTATTTAAATTTCTACATGGGTTGCTGGAGGAACTTAAAGTTAGAATACCTTATCTTCATTAAGCCATCCATATCAGCAGTGATTACTCATCATTGACAGCGTTAACGTCTTATGAAACGATTTATTTTCATTTGCAGTGTCACTAGGTAAGCTAGTCATTTCATTTGGTTCTCCAGCTGTACTTTCCAAAACAGCAGAGCTTAGATCATGAAATAAACCCGAGGGACAAAACCTGGGCCAACAGCATGGTTGGAAAAACTGTCCTACTGATATATGAATAAATTATTAAATTGTTTCAGTGTTTTAGTGCATTTGTGGACCTTCTCCAAATAAATGTATTACTGCATTTATTTCTAACTCTGGTCCTCCATACATGCTCATCAATTATCTGCTAAAATGTCCACCAAACAGAAAGAGAGAGAAAAGAAAACTTATCTCAAAGAATTTGAAGACTTTTGAGCCAAAATCTACCTTTAAGCTTCCTTTCTAGCTTCCTGTGACAGCTTGCTGTACCGCAGTGCTAATTCTACTTTGTGGAAGCAAAAAGTAGAAATTCTGTATTTTTTCATTTGTCTTCTGCTGTAAAAGTGCTGCATCTGGCAACATTTCTGTCAGTATTTCTGCTCATGTTGGGTGAGCAAGATTTCCTAATATCCTCAAGTCCACAGTCCATTTAAAAGTTTTTTTTAATCAATTTCTTAGTTTTATGGGGAAATTAAAGAAGCAAAAAAACCTTATGAAAATGGTACCTTCATATTTAAAATCATGACCCAATTCTTTTATCATCTCTGGCCAAAATTATTAACATCCAGCAACAGAGCAGCAGGTTACAGAGACCAATATGCTGTCTTTTAGATACTTTAAAAGTAAACTTAAACTTGCTCCCCCACAAACAAACAGAGAAATATTTTTGCTAGCATTAGCAGCAGCATGTCTGAATATGTGAAAGAGAGCATGTTGCAGCTGCAGCCCCTAATCCAGGATGATCCAGAACGGACCCACAGCTGTTTTTGCTCCTAATCTGACATGGCACACTGATCCACACTCATAGGCGACACAGAAACCAACAAATCAGACTGTGGATACAAATGTCTGGATTTTGACGGACATGTTCCAACTCAGCATTGGATTCTCCATTCATGTTTGTGGTATATGATAAAAGAATGAGGACACATTTGCAAGATAATTAAAAAAAAAAAAAGGCATTTACCTTTAAGTGAGGGTGGCTGGTAGGTTGCCATGTGAACCAGTTTGGCTTTCGTGGATCCATTTTCACCCAGAACCCACTGTGGAAGCAATGAATGAGAATCACTGTTCGCAGCAGACAGATGTTTCAATTGACATCTGGGGAGGAGACTAAGACAGCCCAACATTATCTTGTTTTAGTATTTCATGCACAAAATGAAAATGAAAATTAAAACAGAGATGTGTTTTATTTGTAACTGATGGATGGAATAAAAAGTAGAAGAAAAGATGACACAGAAAGGTTGTTACTGTCGTAAATCAATAGAAAGAAAGAATATTTTTGGAGCTTTGTCGGGATGTGTCTGGCAGAGAAAGCAACTCGAACTTTGTTTTTTTTTTAACCATTTTACCTACTTATCATTTTATATTTTAAATTTGCAGGTAAACAGAAATTAAAATGAGGATTTAAAAGGAGTTAGTCAACTTATCTTATAGCAGAGCTGGTCTACTTTCTCGGAGATGAACACTTACAAAAGTTTGCAAATCTCTCTAACTTTTTTCACGTTGTAACCACAAAATTCACTTGCATTTAGTTGGGATTTTATGAGGTAGGACCAACACAAAGTACTGCAGGATGAATGATTTTCAGATTTTTTTCCCCCCAACAAATTACTATCTGAAAAGTGCGGCCTGCATTCAGCCTCTCTAAGTAAACACTTTAAATATTATATATTTCCACTGAAATTAGAGCTGCTTCTGAAAGTTTCCACCAGTTAGTCTTTTCTGAATTCTGGGAATTTATTTGAAATTATTTTCACAATTTT